TATTATATTATTACTTTTATTATTCTTCCCTTAGTTTATTTATTTTGTATTTACATTGTGTCATAGGTCAAATTTATTTGTTCAGTGTATGCTGAATGGTGTTAATATGTCCTTTGATTGAGTTAAGCTATTTCAGTTGATATTTTATAGTGTGTCTTTCTATGTTGTGATGTTACACTATTGTTTCAGATAAGGGTGAAGGTTTGGTACCATTAAAACGTTTAAACCCGCTGCATTTGTTTGCACCTGTCCTAAGTCAGGAATCTGATGTTCAGTAGTTGTCGTTTGTTGATGTGGTTCATAAGTGTTTCTCGTTTCTCGTTTTTTATATAGATTAGACCGGTGGTTTTCCCATTTGAATGGTTTTACACTAGTAATTTTTTGGGGCCCTTTATAGCTTACTGTTCGGTGTGAGCCAAGGCTCCGTGTTGAAGACCATACTGTGACCTATAATGGTTTACTTTTATAAATTTTGACTTGGATGGAGAGTTGTCTCATTGGCACTCATACCACATCTTCTTATATCTATATGTTAACAAATTTCTCGAAAAAGGTAAATTATGTGGAACTACAGAAAATCTTACACTGATGTTGTATCAACTCATGAAAATTTATTTCCACATGTAACAATATTCAAAATAAGGACTTATGAAAATTTCCTATTGAACTGACTTTACTTAAAGTATTTTGTTAACACTTGAAGGATTTTGGTTGTAACCTAAAAGTTGACTACAAGCAATACTGCTATCGTTTCTCATTCAAATTCTACAATAATAGCTATTGTCTTAAAAAAAATCAAAATGTCATTAATTAACTGAATTAAAACAGAATAAAAATTCCACTTCAGTTCAAATGCAAAGGATAATATGACTGCATAGATCATGAGTACAATTAGAAACAGATTATTGAATCATTACCTGCATGAGAGGTTTTCTGTCAGCTGATCTTCACAATCTGAAAATAATAAGTGAACGTCATCTAATTTACAAGAATTCAAGAGATATCCAATATTCATAACAAAATATATTATAGACCTAAAAAAGTGATTAACTAAACAAAAAATTAAGCAGATATTACACAAGGGACATATTAAAGAGACATAATAATATAAGTTATGTTATAGCTAATGACTCTTTATAAAATTTATAAAATTGCTAAAGGAGACATAACATTGAGCTAATCAGTATGTGTACCCTCCATTAGAATATTTAACTCTTACTATCATATCATTTAAAAGTCATCATAATGGGGATTCCATTTGAAAGCTTTAACGTTCAATTTATCCAACAGGAATCTCAGACAGTATGAATTTACTTCCATAAAGTCCCATTAATGACACTCACTTTAATTTCTGAACACAGGATCAATTATTTAATGAAGGTGGGATTCATCAAAATTTTAAGTCAATATCTTAAAATTTTAATGAATCCCACCTTCATTAAATAATTGATCCTGTGTTCAAAAATTTAAGTGAGTCGAAGCCAAAAAAGGTGTCCTGCAGGACTCATCAGTGGTGCTTTACTGAGAATCCTGGCCAACATGAATCAAAGGGCTAGTCAAAATGAGCTCTTCTCTATGCTTTTAAACCCAATAGTTTATTCAGAATCAACGTTAACATATTTTCAAATCATCAAATGATGCAGCCTTATGACCAACAATGTACAACAGGATCTGTAGAATATACTGACCTACTTTTGACCTAATAAGGGTAATTTATATCAGAAAATTTCATGAATATCAGCATAAATTAAAGATATTGTCATTATAAAATGGAAAAACAATTCAAGTATTGAGGAGGGTCTTGGAACTTTATGTTGACAGACCATTTTCTTTGTGAACAATTAATTTATTTGTTTATAGAGTAAAACAAAATTAATAATACTGGAATATTCTATCATATACTCAACTGCTGAAATGACTTATCTGACTTTAATGCTGTGTTTGTGGTGAGGACTTAATTGTAAAGCTCAATTTTCAGATTTAATTACATCCTAGTTATTAATGCCAAGAGTTAATTACTGGCAATCATACCACACCTCCTCACTTATACAAGGTGGACTGATGTTTGCATATGTTTCTATTTTTTCTTTTGTCTGTTTTCCTCGAGTTATGGTTTTTGATTACCCCCTTGGCATCTTTTCCCTCTTTTTGGTTTCCTAAAGGAACACAGAGCAGATAATGATGTTAAAGTGTATTTTAGTCCCTTTGCCATAATTTTGATGGAGATGGATGGCATGTAATTTTTTTTTTAATTTCCCTGTGTTTTCAAAGTTTTTCGGTGTAAGTCTGCATTATTTAATTTTCTACACTATTTTTTTAAGTGGTTATTAGAAAAAAATTGTGAAAATTGTTTTCATTTTATGTACAAAAAGTTCTTTTAATTTGTTACAAAAACTCTCGATTTTTCAAAGCATGTTAAGTGTTTTAAGCATATACTAGTCATATCAAATTTGTGTTTATACTTAAAAAAATTAAACTGTTGAAACAATTTTTTAGAACTAAATAAACAATTCAATTAAAGTGTCCCAGATATAGGTAATTTTATAATTTCTTCCCTGTGTACATCCCTTTCCGTCAAAATGTTCATGGTAAGAATTTTCAATTAATTCAATTGCTCAAAATTTTTATGACTTAAAATTGATAATTTTTGAAAACTCTGGTTGAGTTTTAGGGGGTAATGACTGAATCAATAATTTCTTTGGATAGAAGTACATATTTTTTTTACAAAAACTATATTTTTGTATGGTTGGGAAAATTTTACACAAGGATCAAAATGGAGATGTGTTGTATATGTATGTCATATGTCAATGAAACATCATCCCAAAAAACAAAAAAACCGGTAGATTTCATTGTTGTTAATTGGTCATGGCATGTTATCTTTGATAGAAATTTTAATCTAAATCATTAGTGAAACAGTTAATAGTTATTGCAAATAAACCACTGGAGGTGCCCACTTCTGCAATACAAATCTTAAATTAATTAAAATTATTAAGAGAACAATTGAAGATCTTTCCACGCCAAATGCACATAATTTTTATAAGAAAATTTTGACCTTGATCATCATTTCAAGGTCATAAAGGAAGGAGCTTTAATCAAAAGACCCTAGGTCTCTACTATATAAGGTTAATGAGTTCTGTCATTATACAGGTAGTTTTGAATATAAGAGGGGAGAAAACTCCCATTAATTGTCAATGTACCCTTTCAACCAAAATTTATGTGTTCTAACATGTCGCTTCTAACAATTTGGTAACAAATATTTTGTCAATATCATATATGGTTACTGAGGAGAAGCAATATTAACCCAATCTCAAAATTTAAAACAGACCTTGACCTTTGACCTTCACTTCAATTTCTTTTTGGTGGAACAAGGACCTCAAATCAAAAGACCATAGGTCTCTATCCCTTATGGTTTGCTAGTTACAAATACATTTCATTTATTTCAAATAATACAGATTGGATAATAACTGTCATATGGAATCTCTGAAATGCTTTGGTCAAAATTTAACAAAACATCTTAAAAATAAAACGAGAAATTTGGAAAACATAAATTGTTGGTTTCTTTGACAGTTGCAAAAGAGTAGAGAAAAAAAAATAGTGATTGGGGAGATTACTCTCGCAAGAAAAATTGTTCGAATAAACAGTGTCAGATTCTAAAGCCTATAAACTTTTCAATATCATATACCAATTATCTAAGCAACATCTTGCAAAACCAAATGTCCCCTCAAAAAAATAAAAGTTGTAGAAGAAAAAAAAAACCAACAAACAAAACAAGTCCTGGTGGTCTTTCCACGGAGAGGTGGAAGAACTGAATAACTAGATTTCCATTAGAAAACCTGTTTTAAAATTAGTTTGAATTGGTTCAACTTTTTCAGTAGAGATCTTCCTTTCTTTTAATGCTAAAACATCTGAATATATATAAGCATGTCACAGTTGGAAAACAGTGTAAATTAGATATTTTGGTGTATGATGGATTGAATAGTTTATATGCTTTTGAAACTGACACCAATTTACCGAACACTTTTCCTTGTAAGATTTATCTCCCCAAACACTGTTTTACTTGTTATCTCTACTACTTCACAAACAAAAAAGAAACTGACAAATTTATTTTTCCAAATTCCCTGTTTTACCCTCAGGATGTTGAAAAAAAATTTACGGAAGCGATCAGGATCTTATGTTTTAAATTAGCTGTATTAGGATATAACTCATGAACTATATACAGAAGAGACTTAGGGTCATTTGATTTAAGGTCCTTGTTTGATAACCTTGAAATTAAGGTCAAGGTGAAAGCTAAATTTGACATTCTAGATTTTGACCTTGCTATAAATTCATATTTATACCTGATAAAGCTATGGGGTCCTTTGCATTAGGTTGGTAGATATATGACTTGGAATTGACCTTTTGTTAACCGAATGTAGCTATTTCCTGCACTGATTTCATTCAAAAGTACCTATAGAACCATATAATTTTGGAATCAGTGTAAAGAAACCTATCAGATGGTACCAGAGGTGAAATTTTAAAACCAGAAGCAATTTATCACCCTTATTTCAAGCAAAAGTATATAGAAACCATATATTTTTGGAATCAGTGTGACTAAAGCTGTCATATAAGACCAAAAGTGACTTTTTCTAAGTGGAAGTACCAAATTATCTATCTTTTTTTAGACTGAAAGTACATAGCAACCATATAGTTTTTGAATCAGTATGAAGAAACCTATGATTTGACACCAATAATTACTTTGAGTAAACTGCAGGTAGCTTCTTATCAATTATTTAGAAATTTAATGTGGAAAGACCTTAAATTGTTCTCTGAACAATTTCTTTTTAATTTATAATTGAATATGTAGCATGTAGTACCGAGGATATTTGTAATCACATATTAGGACATAAGGCCTCAGCATGCATTTATAATACACATTACTTCCTACAGTAGTATTTAGGGCAAGCTGTTTTATATATAACTGAATAATTCATGTCTGATTTTTTTTTTTCACACTATTTCAGATATGAAAGGAAAAAGTAATGGCCTCATCAGTCAAGCACCTTTGTACTATTTGCCATGATGATGGAATCACTCAGTCAGCAGTCACATGGTGTACAGAATGTGAGGTTTTCTTTTGTGGAGACTGTGAAAAGCATCACAGAAAGTCACGACTGTCTAAGAACCATAACACCATGTCCGCTGAAGATTACCAAAAGTTACCTACATTCATGCAAGAAATAAGTAGTCAGTGCAGAGACCACAAGATGAAGTTTGAGCTTTACTGTTTTTTCCACACCTGTCTCTGCTGTGTCCAGTGCGTCACTGATAAACACAAGAAATGTCAAGACATGAAAACCTTGTCTGAAATACTAAAGCAAGTTAAATCATCTGCTTCAGTTCAGCTTTTTGAAAAAGATTTGAAGAATGTGAAGGAAAACTTAGATACAGCCATAAAGTACCTGAATACCAGAATCAGTACCATTAATACTCAGAAAACAAAAGTCGTTGAGGAAATCAGTTATAAGAGGAAGTCGGTCAATGATTACTTAAACAAATTAGAGAAAGACCTACTAAATGACTTAGAGTCTAAACATTCACAGCTTAAAGTTAACATGGTCACTCTCATGCAACAAATGGAACAGCGAGCCAGTCAGGTAGACCAAATACAGAGCCAGTTTACCAAAATGACGCAATATGCTACAGAGCTACAGATGTATATTGGTCTAAGAGAGATTGAGAAAACTACTTCACAAACGGCAAAATATATAGAAGATTTAGAAAGTGGAAACCACTTCATTGAAAAGAATCTTGAAGATCACATTTCATCTGCTCTTCAATCAATTTTACAAGATGTCAAATCATTTGGAGATATTAATATTAATACCACCTCTTCTACACTTCGACTTAATACCGAAAGAAAAGAACAAGCCCAGCACTTGGTTCTAAAAGTTCCTGGAATTGAACAAATCAAGCCATCCTTGTTGACAAGACTGACAGTTCCAGAAGATATGAAGTCTTTAAATACATCTGCCTGTCTTATACTACCTGATAGTAAATGTATAATACTTGATTACAACAAAAAACTACTTCTACTATTCAGTAATTCTGGCATTTTCATCAGAAAAGTAGTTACACTTACGGAGTATCCATGGGATGCCTGCTTTGTCAGAAACAATACAGTGGCTGTCACATTAGGACGAGCAAACAAGACAGCACTAGTGGATGTAAATAAAAGTAAAATTATTCAAACAGTTAAAGTTTCTCATGATTGTTATGGAGTAGCAAGTGATGGTAAAACTTTAGTCATCAGTAATGGTGACAGCCAGTGTACTACAGTGAATCTGAATGACATGTCTCATACAATCTTAGAAGGACTGGGAGGAGTGGGACGTATTTCATTTTTCCAAGGAAATATCTATAGTATCAATAGCGGTAAATACAACGTATGTTGCTATAAAATTACTGGTGAATCTCTCTGGACATTTCAGCACAGAGACATTGCCAGCCCAGTAGGACTTACATTAGACAAGAATGGCTTTGTTTATATAGCTTCTCTTGGAAACAACAGTATTGTGGTAGTATCACCAGATGGTAGAACCTGTAAGACAATACTATCAGAGGCTGATGGAAGCATACATCCTTGGACAATAGATATCAACAGAGAAACAGGAATAATGATAGTGTCAAGTGAAATAAGTGATAATAACAATGATAAATACAAAACAGCTTTTGTGTATAAAATTTAAGGTGGTACCAAACACCTTGACTAAAACTAATTTGGCTCGTTTAATTTTCAAAAAATTTTGACAAAATATTTACTTTGACCCTTTGACAAAAATTTTAAAATTCAAAAAACTTGAACCACATACTTCATTGGAATATTTCATTGGATGTATAGCAGTTTGACATACACTAATTTTGATCATTGAGAAGCTTAATATTTCCGTAACAACAGAATGTGATTGAACGTTCAGCTGATTTTTAAAAAGTTATCTCCCTGTAGTGTTAAAAATATTGTTTTATTTCATTTTATTTTTTAATAAAAGTATATCTATAATGGTTTACTTTTATAAATGTTGACTTGGATGGAGAGTTGTCTCATTGGCACTCATACCACATCTTCTTATATCTATATCTGTACATAGTGTTAAATGATATCAAGGGGATTACATCTTCCTTTTTAAGGCTTCTAATTCCTTTATAATTAGAATACATATTTGTTCACTTTTCATAAAATCAAAGATTTTTTTTTGGTTTTTTTTTTTCAGTTCAAATATCAAAATGAAAACAGGAATTAGAAAATGAAAATAACATGTGCCAGAAGAACTTTCAGTTTCAACCATCATTAAAACCAAACAATTTGAATGCCAACAATATATCATTACTAGAAAACTTGATATGACCAACTGACACATAAAAATAATAGCCAAATCAACCAAAAGTCAACTGTGTATGAATACCATGAATACATGATTGTTCACTTTTCATAAAATCAAAGATTTTTTTTTCAATTCATATAGCAAAAAGAAAACAGTAATTAAACTAGAGGCTCTCAAGAGCCTGTGTTGCTGACCTGTATCTACTGTGGTTTGGAAATCATGTAAAATAAGGTAAAAATCAGAATAAAAAGTATTACAGATACCCTAATAATGATTGAGGCTAAACTTGGTTTAATTTGGCCTAGTAGTTAAATAAAAAGCAAAAGATTTTTGAAATTTTTTTTTCAAAAATTACCAATAAATTGCAGAAAATGACTTTAATACTCACTGGGCCAAAATAAAAATATGGTTTGTTTCCCCTCGCCCGACCGACCCAAAAGTTTTTATTCCGTTTTTTTTTTTGTGACATTTTTTTTATTTCCGGAAAAAATATTCAAGATAATAACCAAAAAGTGCAAAATTTCCTTAAAATTACCAATTTAGTGGCAGCAACCCAAAAATGGCTCGTTCGGTTCGTCTGAAAATTTCAGGGCTGAAAGATCTTGACCTATTTAACATTTTTAACCTATGGCAGATTTGCTCTAAAAGCTTTAGTTCTTGAGATATAAGCCAAAAACTGCATTTGACCCCTATGTTCAATTTTTAGCCATGGCGGCCATGTTTGTTGATGGATCAAAACTTCAGATACAGTTTATAAACTAGATACCCTAAGGAACATTCAATTAAAGTTTGAAGGTATTTGGCCCAGTCAGTCAGGAGAAGATCCTTGAAACAGTTTTTTTCGTGTCAGCCATTCTAATATTTATATTCTCAGCTCTTCAACAAGGTAAAAATAGTTTTCTGCCACCTCCTAGACAAAAAAATCAGGATAGTTCCAGTATTTAAAATTGTTTTATTTGGAAAAATATCTTACATATAGACCTTATAGGAAAAGGTTCTGGACATTAACAGTGCTTTATAAAAAATGCCTGGACAAAAAATATTGAAACAAGAATGTGTCCATAGTACACGGAAGCCCCACTTGCACTATCATTTTCTATGTTCATTGGACCGTGAAATTAGGGTCAAAACTCTAATTTGGCATTAAAATTAGAAAGATCATATCATAGGGAACATGTGTACTAAGTTTAAAATTGATTGAACTTCAACTTCATCAAAAACTACCTTGACCAAAAACTTTAACCAAAACCTTTAACCTGAATCGGGACAGATGGACAGACGAACGAAGGAAGGAATGGATGGATGAACGAACGGACAGACGAACGGACGAACGAATGGACGCACAGACTGAACAACATAATACCCTTAAGTGGGGCATAAAAAGTGCTTCACTAAATATTTCTGTAAAACAATAAAGGGTAGGCGAGAAAATTTAGAGTAGGTAGGTAGGTAGGTAGGAATTTTTTTTTGGTTGGTCTAACACAGATTAATTTTATTTCTCTTCATATGAGTGCTTATATATAGATTTAAATTTCTTTTCGTTGAGACTTCAGGGGTTTTTCCCTGTGTTATAGTTATACTATTTATATGTTCAAAACTGATTAGTGAGAGTAGTTGTATAACAGGTTCTTGTTTTGGATATTAATATATATGGGTAATATATATGCACATGAACTACTGGTGGTTTAAAAGGTGGGTTTCCGTTATATTACATAAAGAAAATTTTTGGGTGTCACATCATCGAAAGGTGCTCACAGTAACTACGACAGTCATTTTGCAGTTTATTGTCGCATATTAATGTATGATTATAATATCAAGTTTGAATTCAGTCCATTTAAATGTATTGGATCATTTTGTTTGTGTTTTGAATATTGTTGTTATAATATATTGGTTTATAATGTTAATTAACATTGCTTGCTAGAAAAGAGAAGTTACTGTGAGCAACTAGACCTATACCTAGAGTTTTGTTTTATTTATCATATCAAGGATTTTAGTAAAGAAATGTTTTAAATTCAAACGAGCATGGCGAAGGAGAATTTAACCTGTTCTATCATGCATCGTTTAAAAATAATTATAGTCTCAATGAGATTTTCTCCTTTTTTATCTCATCTTAATATACTTTCAAATGATCAAATAATGCAGCCATCTAACCAACAGTGTACAATATACTGATCTACTTTTGACCAAACATTTCATGAATTAATGGATTTTCAACAATGATTTTGATATATTTATAGATATCCTCTTTAAAAAGTGATGTAATAATGCACCGACCATTCTTTTTTCGAGGTGGGCATGGACATGTTGACAAACAATTTTTTTGTGAAAACCATTTTGTTTTTTAGTGTAAAATAAGTAATGAAACTGGAATCAACCAGTCAGAACTCAAAAGCTGAGATCACTTAGTTAAAGCTGTGTTTTTAGTGGGGTTTGTAATGAAGCTATTTTATCAATTTTGGTTTCATCCTAGCAATTGTTCATTGGACTTTGATTTTTCTCACCCTTTTTTATATACAGTGCAGATATTGATGTTTAAGTATATTTTAGTACCTTTACAGACTTTGTCATATTTTTAATAAGGATGGATTACGAGTAACTTGTTGAAAAGCTATATATCCTATACGTCTAGTTTTCTATCCTATTTTCCCAGGTATCTTTCAGTTTATACACCAATATGTCGGAGGATATTTTGAGTTTTAACTTTGTCGTACAGATAAAATCAGTTTGTATGCTGACATGGCCTTGTTATGTAATGTATGAGGAATCCTTGTTATTGGTACCTTTGTCTGAAAACAAAGTTTTCTCTTCTTCACTATATCTGGTTCATACATGTATCCCTATTAAGTAGTAATTGAACTTTAAAAAATGAATTATTTGATTCTGAAATAATTTTGAATTCTGGAAAACTGAAAAGATATGTATGATGAAAACTAACCAACTTTAGGAGTTAGTAGATCATAGATATAAAATATAAGAAGATGTGGTTTGAGTGCCAATGAGACAACTCTCCATCCAAGTCACAATTTGCAAAAAGTAAACCATGCTTGCACGGCTGAGGTTCAAGTTACATTTGCTTATATTTCAGTATAAATTAAATAACCCCCTTTTTACATATGCATGCATGGCTAACTCTCCTGTATTTGGTTTATTTTCATCATACATTCCTTATCAATTTTCCAGAATTTGAAATAATTCCTGATTCAAATAATTCTTTGTTTCTAATTTCTGAAAATCAATTCTCCATCTGCCTTGAGCATGTTGAGGAATTACATGTATTATGTCATGAAAGTCTCACATAATTATACTAAAACTAATTCAAAGTTGATAATATTTTAAGATGCATAATAAATTAAAAAAATATGAAAGTTGTTTTTATTGAATGTACAAAAAATTCATTTTTAGATTTGTTTGCTTACACACATCGGAGATTCTTTAAAGATTGTTGAATGCTTTTATGTACTATGACAAATATATGCATTTAAATCAAAACATATATTAGTGGTATCAAATTTGTATTCATACAAAATGATTTAACTGTTGAGACAAGTATTCAAATTTAAATCAATAATATATACTAAGTGTCCCAGATATTGGACATTTTACTTCCCTGTGCAGTTTCCTTTCTATCAACTTGTTCATGGTAAGAATGTTCGAATTATTCAATTGATCATTTATTTTATTAATTAAATTCAGAATTTATAAAACTCTGGCAACAGTCCATAACTGCATACAATAAGTAATCCTTGCTTGTTTTATACAGAAAGCAGAAACAATAATTTACACTGGTTGAAAACACACAGGAACCGGAGAATTTACTGTTTGATCAAAGTCTTCTGACACAGTCCAAAATTTTGAAGTAGAAAGCATAAAAGTCTACTCTTATTTTCTGTGTATTTTTTTCTAAATATCTGTAACTTAGAGAATAACTAGATGCTCTAAAGAAGAGCCTGTGTGGCTCAGTTTGATCTATCAATGGACTCTCTCGCTGTTTTGATGATCATTTTTGTTGTTCATAGTTTCTCTCAACTATACCCTACTGAAAATGAGTACGGGATTCCACTGGATTTCCAGTGAAATTACACTGGTATTCAGTGGAAAAAAATATTCCGATGGAATCCCATTAGAATTTCATCCAAAACATCTGGAATATTTTTCACACTGTAATTCCAATGGAAAATCAGTGAAATTTCCAATGAAACTTCCAAAGATTTTCCAATTAATTTCCAGTGGAATATTATTGTTTATATTTCAGTGGAGTTTTGATTTAATGCAAATATTCCAGTGGAATTTTGGACTTAGAAATTTAAAGGAATATATACTTCTAATTTAAATTTTTCAAATAATTAAGTGCATGATTATTATATAAAGGATTTAATTTGTAACATATAATTTGCTGGCCTGATAAGAAATTAAATATTATAATCGTGATAATATATGGGATGTAATGAATATTTCATAAACCTACATATATATGTATATGAAACATTTTTTCAAAAAATGTTACATGGTTAAATGTAATATGAAATCACTTGCCTAGTAACAAATGAAAATTATCATTTGGTCTGAAAGACCCCCCCCCCCCCCCCCCCCATATAAAATAAGTAAAATGGTAGCTCCTGAGATGTAGGGTGAATATAATGCATCACCATATAGCCTATGAGTATGACAGTACATTGAAAGGATAAATTTTAACTATTAAGAAATAAAATTAAATGTGCAATAATCAGATAATATAAATAAAGAAATGAATATTTTATATCAAATTGGGTTGAGAATAAGATTCTGTTTGATTTAACGAACAAAAACAATTAAGATTCTTTTTGAAAAATGTGCATGGCTCTTAAAAGGGCCGTTTTAAACAGATCTGTTGCAGAAATTATCTTCAGACTGTACGAATTGTTAGGATAACTCCGTTTTTTTCTTCAAGTGACCGTACTGGCAACTGCCCTGCACTACAGTCTACATGTATACAATAATATAATTATTTCTCCTTTGACTTCATCATGTTCATAAACTGTTACTTGTCTAATGTTCTTTTGAGAAAAGTAATGTGAACGGCTTTCATTTTCCACATTGTTCTATAAACTGTTTCGGTATCTTAACTTTGTCGGTGTGATGAATTTTTCATCATTTTCATGTCCTGAACTCGGCACTGGAACTCGGGTCATATAAGTTAATCTATAGAAACATTTCACATATAATCCGCTCCGATCAATTGTACGCTAAATGTCAGTGTTTTGGCATAATTTGAGCAGAAAATTCGTGAAACTGTAATCTATAATGTTGTTTTTCAACACACATGTTTACATTCATGGAGGCTGCCATTTTTCTACCAGACTATATATAAAACCGCTGATTTGTTTGGATAACTCTATTTGCGGGATTTCCGATCGGCCAATCAGATAGTCGTTATCATTAATACACGGAATGTGTTCAAATTTGAAACTAAAAATATTGTACGAGTATGTATCCTGTCCAGCATTGTCCAGCTGTGGTTACATTAATCATGTTAATAATAATTAATACTCAACAACCTTCGATAAATAAAGAAATAGACATTAAAGGCAGAACATTTAGGTATGACATTAGCTGTTGAACCAAGAATTTACGATGAGACGATGTGCTGATGTAGGGCAGACGTACAGCAGATACAGGTAATTTTTAAGAGATTTTACATTTGATTTTTACATCATGAATATTTTTAATTAAAATTAAAAAAAAAAGATATACACCCCCTTTAGTTTCATTCATGGGCTCTGTTAGTTCACACTCTGATGACCATTTGGTGTTCTGAAAAGGGGGAGGTGGGAATGTAATAATAATTTTATTATTCAATATTGAATTACATTGTGTGCCTTCACAATCAAGGAAAGATGTTTACAGTTTACTACACAATGTCAGGCACATTCAACTTAATTTTGTCATGTTCTGATTTGGATGGACATGCAACACAAAAAATCCCTAAAGATCTATAAGCTGTAAACACATCTCAAAAACATTGATCTCATCATCATGCACAATGGTTAATCATGGCTATTATGTGAACAAAATGAGGTGTCTGGTATGCTTCAACCAGACAGTAAACCAACAACAAACACAACACAAAGGGAAGGATAATATGAGGCTAAATAAAAATATATGCGTGGTTCCAATTACCTTACCTACCTTTTTTTTAGTCTTAACAATAGCCTACCCTAAAGATTTTTTTGTCATTTTTCAGTAAGTACTGTAAGTCAGAATGTTGCTCCCATAGACATGATAGACTCAATGTAAAAACAAACCATAAAATAAAAAAAATTCTTACCTACCTATCCTAATTTTTTTTTAAATGTAACTGGAACCACACATACTATTTTATTTGGCTTTGAGAGACACCTGATCCATGAACAATAAAAGTCTTTTTTGATAAAAAGAGATGTGTGTTATAAGTCTAAGAGACAGCAACCCAACAACTATAGCCAAAGATATCTAGAGAACACATAGTCTTCAACAATAGACAAACATGTGTCTAAATTGCTCTTAGTGTATAAATGTTGTGAATAAATTACACACAAACACAAATAAAATATGCCAGTAACATATATTTTTGAATAATTGCAGACATGATAGACTCAATGTAAAAAAAAAACATAAAATAAAAAAAATTATTACCTACCTACCCTAATTTTTTTTTAAATGTAACTGGAACCACACATACTATTTTATTTGGCTTTGAGAGACACCTGATCCATGAACAATAAAAGTCTATTTTGATAAAAAGAGATGTGTACATGTGTTATAAGTCTAAGAGACAGCAACCCAACAACTATAGCCAAAGATATCTAGAGAACACATAGTCTTCAACAATAGACATACATGTGTCTAAATTGCTCTTAGTGTATAAATGTTGTGAATAAATTCCACACAAATAAAATATGCCAGTAACATATATTTTTGAATAATTGCAGACTGGAGCATGGTATTGTAATGTTATTTAATTCAAAATTCTATGCATGTTATGATGTATGATTTTTTTTCTTTCAGATTAATCAATGAAGACTTAATGAAACAGGATTGGAATGCAGAAACTTTGGACTTAATTCATGAATAATATCAATGGATGATGAAGAAAACTGACCAAACTGACAAAGTATTTCGTATGCATGTAAACTGGACATTTTTGTTTGTTTAATGCACAATAAACAAATTTGTAAAATTGAAAATTAAAACCATTTGTAAAAGATTTCAAGAGGACCAAAAGTTACCATGGACTTATGAATGATTTAACCAGAAAAATGACTTACATGTACAATTAAGTAAATACATCTTTGACTAAAAAATTATAATTTATCAACGCTAATATTTTAAAGAGGTTGATCTTTTCGTTTAAAAGGTCTTAAATGTGGATGATGTATAAACTGTTGTAATTTCTTTAATTGTTGACTTGCATTAAAATGGTTATTGTCTTATTTCAAGTTTTCTTATTAATTCATTCAAAAATAAGCAGTGCATGCAAAATGATATCTAACATTTCAGTGGAATTGTCAATTTCCATTGAAATATCACTGGTTTTCTTTGGTTGATTGTTACAATTTCCACTGGTATCCCAGTAGAAAACAATAAATGTCCAGTGGGAAAACAATGGTATTCCAACGAAGTTTTCACTGGTATTCCAATGGAATTTCCACTGTATTCCACTGGAGTATTCACCAGAATCCCACTGGATATTCCACTGATATCCCAATGGAAAACAATGAAAGTCCAATGAAAATCCCGACCAAATTTCCCAGTGGTAATACAGTGGTATTCCAATGGAACTCTGATGGAACTCCACTGGTATTTTCAGTGAAATCCCACTTTACATTTTCAGTAGGGTATATATATAGTTTTAGCAGATCTCTTTTTGCTGATCCCTTGTTGTATACAGTTTCTCTTTATCTATTTTTCTTTTCAAGATAATTGGCAAAAACAATGGAAAATATTTCATAGACAATTAATGCATTTAACACCAGAGAAATTTTAATTAATAAAACTATTTTTTTTTACAAAAAACTTTTTTAGTCGCAGCTGGTTTGCAAAGTCTAACATAATACGGATCATTTTTCCCAGTACCAATTGTATAAAGAAAATGTGTAGTATATATATATATATATATGTCAGTAATCAAACAGCGTTCCAAAGACATAGATAGACAACATAAAATGTCATAGCTTTTCTTTTGGCTATGGTGTTGTCTGTTATTTTCTATTTCAATGCTTAATTGGCTCCTGTTATCTATCTTCTCTCACTATTTGTCTATTATAAATTAATAGAAAGAGAAAAGCCTGGAGGGTATCATGCATCAATAAGCCATGTTATGGTTTTTTTAATCAAAAAGTAATATTCTGACTCTCAACCTTGAAAATAAAAATATTTTACAATGAATCCAAGAAAAAGGAAAAAAATCATATTAAGGGTATTGGCCATTAACTTTAATGTTAACTTCCATAAAAAAAATAATTGATGACTGCAAGGTATAAAATTTTTGTTATGAAATATATTTATTACGACAAAAACTATAATCCCCTCCCTAAAAAGTGAAATGGTTGTTCCCTAATGAACAAGACATTGTCAAGATGATAGAAAACTGCATGGTTTGTATTTACATTTACTAGTATGATTGCTAAAACAATGAAGGGCTTAAAACCAGTTAAAAATAAGTTTAGCTGTTTCAACAGTTTCAGTTAATACCTTCCTTTTAATTGCTTACAAATCTGACTATAAACATGTCACAAGTGTAGAACATTTTTAATTCACATGATAAGTATGTTATAATTGTGAGCATGTAGCATGTTCTATATTTGTCACAATCTTATCAGGACATGAAGCATCCATTTATAATCTTGTTACAAATGTACTAATACAGTAATTTTTTTGGATAAACTATTTTAAGGATGTATTTATATCTTCTGACGTTTCAGTCTCGTTGAAATCTTGTTCTGGAATTATTTCCAAAACATGTGATACAAGTGGAAAATATCAATGAATTTAAAAAAATATTATAATCAAACTTTTAAAACTCTGTGAAAAAATTGTGTATTTACAATAAAATTTTAAAATTTTAAAACCAATCAAGTCAGTCTCATTAGCCAAAATGTTGAGAAAATGGGTGAGGGGTACAAGAAATGATTTTACCAGATACATGTACATCCCATATCAATTTTTTTCTTTTCAAATTTCTTAGATATGTATTTTTTCAATCATTTATAACAAAGAAGTTGAAATAATATGCTTTTTGTTCTGAAAAAAGAGAAAAATCCCAAATTTACAAAATTGACAACATCATCAGGTAAATTTGACACAAAAAAGCAACAAAATTTTATAAAACTTTCTTATATTAACACCTACCCATAGTTTTTTTAAGTTAAATTTATTCAGATTGGTCCACTTCATCTTTAGTGAAAGTATGAAAAAAAAGTTTCGTTGTGAAACTGTGATTGTTTTCATGATAATAGCCCAAAAATGGGTAAAAATTGGGCACCACCATATAATTTTTTCTTCACCAATTATTTTTTTACAGTCATTTAAACCCAAAAATCAGGTTAAGAAAAAAAGTTTTATTCTAGAAATTTTTGGCTCCTCAGAGGTGTACATCCTTAAGTATAACTGAGTAGTTTTACTTTACATAATTTTTTCAATATACATGTATTTCAGATTTAAAGAGAATGGCCTCATCAGTCAAGAACCTTTGTACAATTTGTCATGATGATGGGATCCCCAACTCAGCAGTCACATGGTGCACAGAATGTGAGGTTTTCTTTTGTGGAGACTGTGAAAAACCTCACAGCAAGTCACATCTGTCTAAGAACCATAAAACCATGTCAGCTGTAGATTACCAAAAGTTACCCACATTCATGCAAGAAATAAGTAGTCAGTGCAGAGACCACAAGAAGAAGTTTGAACTTTATTGTTCTTTCCACGCCTGTGTCCAGTGTATCACTGATAAACACAAGAAATGTCAAGACATGAAACCCTTGTCTGATATTCTGCAGCAAGTAAAATCATCTGCCTCAGTTCAACTTTTTGCACAAGATATGAAGGATGTGAAGGAAAACTTAGATACAGCCATAAAGTATCTGAAATCCAGGACCAGTACCATCGATTCTCAGAAAACAAAAGCTGTTGAGGAAATCAAGTCTATGAGGAAGTTGATGAATGATTACTTAAACAAATTAGAACAAGACATACTTAATGATTTAGAGTCCAAACATTCAAAGTTGAAATTTAACATGGCCACTCTCATGCAACAAATAGAACAGCGAGCCAGTAAGATTGACCAAATGCAGAGCCAGTTTTCCAAAATGAAGCAATATGCAACAGAGCTACAGATGTATATTGGTCTGAGAGAGATTGAGAAAACTACATCACAAACAGCAAAATATTTAGAAGATTTAGAAAGTGGAGAACACTTCATTGAAAAGAATCTAGAGGTTAACATTTCATCTGCTCTTCAATCAATTTTACAAGATGTCAAATCATTTGGTGATATCAATATCAATATCACCTCTTCTACTCTAAAAATAAATGCTGGAAGAAAAGATCAAGCTCAGCACTTGGTTCTAAATGTTCCCGGAATTGAACAAATAAATCCATCCTTGTTGACAAGACTGACACTTCCAGACGATATGAAGTCTTGAAGTATATCTGCCTGTCTTATATTATCTGATAGAAAATTTATAATACTTGATCAGAGCAAACAAGAACTACTGCTCTTCAGTAATAATGGCATCTTCATCAGAAAAGTTGTTACATTCACAGAGAATATATATTGTGCATGCTTTGTCAGAAATAATACAGTGGCTGTCACATTAGGACGAGCAAACAAGACATCATTAGTGGATGTAAATAAAAGTAAAATTATTCAAACAATTAAACTTTCTCATGATTGTTATGGTGTAGCAAGTGATGGTAAAACTTTGTTCATCAATAATGGCAACCAGTGTACTACAGTGAATCTGAATGACATGTCATATACCAGCTTAGAAGGAATGAAAAGAGTGTTCCGTATTTCATTATTCCAAGGAAATATCTATAGTACCATAATCAGTGAAAATAAAGTCTGCTGCTATAAAAGTGGTGGAGAACTTTTGTGGACATTTCAGCACCAAGACATTGCCAGACCACGAGAACTTACATTAGACAAGAATGGCTTTGTTTATATAGCTTCTTCTGAAAACAACAGTATCGTGGTAGTATCACCAGATGGTAAAACCTGTCAGACAATACTATCAGAGGATGATGGAATCAAAGATCCTTGGGTAATAGACATCAACAGAGAAACAGGAATGATGATAGTGTCAACTGAAATAAGTGATAGTAGTGATTATAAACCATATACAGCTTTTGTTTATACAATTTAAAATGCTATTTATTTTATTTTTTAATAGAAGTCTATCTGTGCACAGTGTTCAATGATATCAAAGACATAACATCTGCCTTCATTAAGGCGTCCAAATCATTTATTATTAGAATACATGTTTGTTCATTTTTTCATATGATAAAAATATTTTTATCTTTTTTTCAAATCACATATATTATTCAAAAAAGAAAACAGTAATTGTAAAAAGAAAACAGTATGCATTAGAATCAAACAATTTAAATGTATTAGGCCATGTTCACATTAAGCTAAACTGGGTGTGGTGTAAGTATTCTCAATACTGAAACTAAACTTTACTACATTAATGTTCCTGTAGATAACAAGAGTGCACACACTGAAATGTCTCGTCTGATTTACTTATGATTGAATTTAATATGTTGAAATAGAAATAAGAAGATGTGGTATAAATGCCAATGAGACAACTCTCCATCTAAGTCACAATGTGTAATAAAATGCTCCGCTGGGCGCAGCTTATTACGACCGCAGAGGTCGAACCCTGAACAGTTGGGGCAAGTATGGACACAACATTCAAGCTTAATACAGCTCTGAATTTGAATTGTGATTAAATATTTGACACAGCATAGGTTTCTGACACAGAATGAATGTGGTCTAAGAACTTAAAAATTTTTAATTTACCTATTATGGTCCAATATCCAAAATCTAAATACATACACGGTTAGATTCAGCATATCAAAGAACCCTTGAAGAATTCAATTTTTGTTAAAATCAAACTAAGTTTAATTTTGGACCCTTTGGACCTTAATGTAGACCAATTTGAAAACGGGATTAAAAATTAAGAATCTAAATACATGGTTAAATTCAGCATATCAAAGACCCCAATATTTCAATTTTTTATGAAATCAAACCATATCATTATTATTTGCTTTTATATATAAATCAAAAATAACCAACTTAAAATGGAAAATTTTAAAGAAAAAAAAAAAGGGAAAAAAATCCCCCCCCCCCCCCCCCCAATTTTTTGAACCCCCTTATGATTCATCACCCCCAAACTCAATCCCAATGACAAACGAGATGATTTTAATTTTAAAATTA